GTCAAAAGCAGGTAAGCTGAAGCGTCATCGTCAAGCGATTTTAGCGTAATGTACCTACGATTCGTCAATGGACCACGCTTTGGTACCTAATAGGTAGCCATGACCATTTGACCATTAACCTATACCTACATAGAGGTCAATGGCCATCATCAAGGTTTGCCATAGCCGTGCACCTCACTCAACTGCACCACAAGACACAATCGCATCACAATCCATATGTAGCGTGAGATGAGAGCTTCAGCCTTCATTTCGAGTTGGGAAAACTTTTCATCCTCGGGCCATGATAAATGAAAATGCCAATCAAACGCTTCACTTCGAGCTCAGCAATCCTATTCCTACCTATCTTGGCGGAGGTGTGTGGTTTCATAACTGGCAAGAGTCACCGAAGAGGCATGGCACCTATCGTCCCTCATATCAATTACGTAAATTTTTTATTTACCATCGTACGACCATCGTGCATCATTGATCATATCAATACTTACATTTTCCCTACCATCGTACCACCATCGCAATCGCCCATCACATCAATTTACGCCTTCATTGAACATATAATTTGATCTCCAGGTGCAAAATACTCCGCTCCAACTCACCTTCTCTCCTGTCGTCTCTCTTGATGACGTTTTCTTCTGCGTCTGTCGTTTCTTTTCCGGGCTAGATTTGCGTCTCGTTCCGTTCTCTGGTCTCTTACTTCCCTGAGGGGGTTTGGCCGGCGCCTGCGCCGACCTCACGGTTTGCTGAGCCGGGGTCGGCATCACGACACCGTCCCGGTCACTTCCCGCGACCTCAGCCGCGCACCGCCCGAGGCACTTTGCCCCGACCGGTTCCGCTTCCATGCGCAAACTGGAACGCTCCAGCGACGTTGCCAGGAGGTTCTCAACTCCGGGCCGGCCGACCGGCTGATAGTACGCGCGGTGGGCGCGGTGGGAATAAGTTTGAGAGCCCCGCACGCAGACTGTTCGGTTTGGGGCCGCCGCGATTGCCGCGGGTCAAACGCCTCGGGCGTTAGACTGGGGAGGGAGGTCCGGAGGGGGAAGTCGGAACTCGGAAGTGGGGGGGGGGGGGGCTTTGAAGTTACAAATGAATATCATTGAACGTGGATCATGCATACATCGGTAGTGTTGAAATGTCGGAAGTGGTAGGCATAGAAGTAAGAAACGAGTTCGGAACGAATTACCAATACCGTGTTTTTTTGTTTATTATTGACATTTCCCATTTGAATGAGTCACCCCGAAAGCAGTTTTAAAATTTATTTGAGCAGATAAATGACAGGGGCAGTAGAAGATAATGATACGGAGATAAGCAGCACGAATTGCATGAGTTTAGTATTTAAGAGTAGACACCATTATACCTATACTGCATATGTATTACATCAAGCGATCAAGATATGATCAGGTAATCGGGGAGAGTACCTACCCCTTATGCGCCCGGAACCTATTCCTGTGCTTGAACAAAAAATGCGTTTAGTGAATGCGGTATCAATTCTCAAACCTTTATTTGGGAGCATCAACCGCTGCCTTGTTACGGTAACAAGTGCGCACTTTGGCATGCACTTAGGCCGACGCGTCGGACAGTCGTCCGTCTGTGCTCAGCTCAAGACAAGCGTCCTTCTGTTCTGCACCCTCCGACTTTTAGACCCGTCCGGATAATGGCCTGTGTGGCTGTGTGATGCTCCACATCAAGGGCCAGATGAAATTCCTGTGCTGTTGAGACTATCTGCAGATAGCAGTCGTGGGCCATGATATCCGGCAGCAGTCAGACCGGTCCGTCGCAGAGACCCAGTGTGCCGCCCGGACAGGTCCGCAGCAGGTCAGGTCAGGTCAGTGCTCGCCGACGGTACCATGGCGCGAGCTGAGTGGGTCTCTCTGCTGGTTCTCTGGCTGACCGTTCAGCCGCACCGGTCTCTCCGAGTGCAGGCGCAGACAGAGCCAGCATGTCCCGATATCGGTACGGTGAGAAAGAACAACTGGCCGGAGACGAACATAGAGTTGATCATATCACAGGACGCACCCGGAGTCTCAGAAGTCTACTGGGCTCCGTACGTCGATACCGATGACACTATTGATGCCAGTCAGTATGTGGACGTTACATTTAATTCGACTGCCCAGGCGGTCGAATTTACGGCTCTGCCGTCTCTGGCTGGTGTCAGAGACTATCTACAGAAGGGCTACCCCACGCTGGCGCAGCTTACGGGCACCTGCCAGATGATTTGCGGTTCCAACACAGGAGAATTCCAGTTTATATTGCTGGTGCAGGACCGGAATACGGCCAGTCCCCAGTTCGGCTCGTTTCCCCGTAGTGTCAACGTGTCGGAGGTGCTTCTCACAGGCTTGGTTCTACCCGATCTGGTCATTGCCGCCTCAGATGCTGATGCCGATGCGACCAATTACGATCTGAGCTTTGCTATCAAAGAGGACAGTCCGTTCAGTCTGACCGAGCCAGTGAAGACCAGTGATGTGTTGCCGACATACACGACCCAGCTGAAGCTGGAGAAGCCGCTGGACTGGGCGACGAACGCGATTTACCAGCTCACTGTCACTGCCCAGGACCCTGGAGGCAAGTCAGCTGACATCACGATCACAGTGAACGTTGTTGACGTGGACACAGCGCAGCCCGAGTTTGAACACGACATCTACTCTGTCACCGTGGATGACCCGGAGACACCGGGGCCGCTGGACGTCTCCATCAGAGCCGTGGACCCCGACACCCCCGGAAAGTTGATCTATGAACTGCTGGTTGATCCCGCTGAGGGTGAGTACGCCGACTACTTCTCACTAGATCCTGACACTGCCGTGTTGAACCTCACCAAGAACATCACAGACAAGCTCCAATCCGACAGCACGGTCGTACCCTTCCTGCTGCAGGCCACAGAGGATGGTGGGTATCGGTTCTCATGTCGAGCTGAGCTGCTCGTCACTCTTCCTCCGCGACACTCAGGGTGTCCCGAAATCAGCCCAGTCGTCATCGGCAGCTGGCCAGAAAACCAGACCGGCCTGGTCGCCTCTCGGGACGCTCCAAGAGTGACGCACGTCACATGGGCACCTCCCGACGGCTCCAATCAGTACTTGGATGCCAGCAAGTACGTGAGCGTCACAATCAACGCGGACCTACAAACGCTTGAATTTCTCGCCACGTCAAACATGTTCGGCATTGTGGACTTCGGAAATCCAACGTTTCCAAATCCTGCAGTGATGAGAGGAACGGTTCTTCTGATGTGTGGCGCCGACGTGGCCCGGGTGCCGTTCACACTAGAGGTGGTGGACGCCAACACTGCTGCGCCCGTGTTCGACTCGGAGAGGTACACGACGCACGTGATGGAGACGCTCCCGGTGGGCATGGTGGTGGGCAGTCTGGTCATCTCGGCCGCCGACGCTGACCCCGTCGTTGCCAATCACGAACTGTCCTTCGGCATACAAGAGGAGAGCCCGTTCAGTCTGACCGAGCCTGTGAAGACCAGTGATGTGTTGCCGACGTACACGACCCAGCTGAAGCTGGAGATGCCGCTGGACTGGGCGACGAACGCAACTTACCAACTCACTGTCACTGCCCAGGATCCTGGAGGCAATCAGGGCCAGGCTGTTATTGAAGTGTACGTGATTCAGGTGGCCACCGTCAGTCATGATGGCGTTTCTGCTGACATGGGGCGGCCGACCGACACTTAGTTATACCGTGAGCAAGACGGTGGGCAGTAAATCACCGAGTTAGAACGGACCGATAGCACAGCGATGTGCTTCTAAGCGTCACAGAAAAGACAGCATCACGACCGGCGTTTCGCTGGGTTACAGGCAGTGAATGATTGGTGTAACGGTGCACCAGTAAACCGCAGGTCGTTGGTGTTCGCAATTACACTGGTGTTGTGTTAACTGGTCTCATAGTGATGTTTGTAGCTGGCTCTGCCTTCTAGAAATCGAAATGGCGCTGCTGGTAGGCGCCGCCGGTTTTTTTAACGAATCAGCCATGCTTTGCTTCCGTGTGATTAAGGATATAAGAGGAGCAGCCCGAGTTCGTTTCGTTCATTGATAAGCGCAACTTCTGTGACCTCGAGCTAGGTCATCGCGGTGCACAGTGCACACTCTATGATAAATAAGAAATGCACCAACACTGAAATTCTTTTTTGTTTGTTTGTTTGTTTGTTTGTTTGTTTGTTTGTTTTGTTGGGTTAGGCCCTTTCGGTCCAATTAGACCATTTCAGAGCCGGAAGGATGTTAGGAATTAGGGGGAGACATTGGTCTGGGCAGGCACCCTAGTGAGTCACCGGGGCTGAGCCCATCCCGAAGGACAGGCCGATCAGCCCCAAGGTACTCACTTCACCCGGCTACGGGGTGCGCTCCCTCGGGAGCAGCGGTGCCGCTCTAAGGGAGCAACCCGCATGAGATAAAGTTGCCTGTCCAGCCCAGAGAGGGGTTGCGGCGTGGAGGAGAAGGATTTCAGTATCCTGAGGATAGAAGCACGGAACGGTGACTGAAAATTCCCGGATATCATATGGTCATTCGCGATACCACAGTCACCGCCGAACGTTTCAGCCTTGTTCCGCGGATGGCAGCACCTATCAGAGTCCAAAGTGCGGCCAGCAGTCTACAGAAGCTCGTGAACAGGTGGCAGCACCGGTGGTGAGACTAGTGAACGCTACAACATGGATCATTTCTGGGGGACAAGGTTTGGCGAACGGGCGACACTGTAAAATTAATGGCGGGCAATGGTGATGGCCGGACAGCGTATAAAGTTAGAAGGAAACGTCCCGCAGTCGTGTCACTCCAACAAGCTAGCAACCCACCGCTCAAACAAAATGACAATCGACATGTCACACGATAGTCTATAAGATCAATTCGGTGCATGTCCGCGATGACCGTACAAACCAAAGACATCCTACGTTGCAGGAAAAGACTCCACAATAGTCATAAGTTTAAATTTTCCACACAGACGATTGCAGTGCATATATCCCGCACGCACCACATGCCACCTCGAACTCACCATCCTTCGCTCAGCCGCAAACCGGCAAACAGTACAACAAAACGTGGCCTTTTGGGCACCACACTCCTTTTATTGACGGACGCGGCACCGAAACAAGAGCAAGCCACGATACGAGGTGAACAGAAGAGCGCCTGGCGCCTCGCCCCAGGCCAACCGCCGTTCCACGGGTCACTGGTCCGCGAGGGAGCGATGCGGGGTCGACTAGTTTGAATTTAGATGTTGGTTCGTCAGTTGCACGGCTGCGAGGCGGTAGATGATGGGAGCGATTACGTAGCGGGAGACTGCGCAAACTGTGGTACACTCTTTGGCCGGGAGGTGGCGGTATCGGCGGCTCCCTCGCGGCACCACGACAGACGGCGCCACCGCAGGGCTGACGCGGGCCGGTGATTTGATTCGAATGAATTCGCGTGACCGACGAAAGACAGGTGCCACACCGGCGGCGGCGGCGGCGACCACAGAAACATACATGACAAAATAGACGGCGGCATCATCTTTACCCACGACAAAAGACGTGACAATCCGCGGCTCACGCAGGAGCCATCGCTGCGGCGCCACCCGCCGGCGCAGCTCCACGCAAACAAGACAGCCCAGTCCGGGTATATCGAAAATAATTCGGACTTCCTTCGTGCCGCGCCGCTCTCTCGCTCAATCCATCCCACCCAGTCACACGGTGTGCCCACACGCGCCGGCCTCGGGTCGAGGCACGCAGCGACGACAGCGCCGCCTAGTGGGACGCTCCACTGAGATTTCGGAGAGACGGCCATAGCAGCAGAGGTGGCGGCGGCTCGCGCGAGCACAACTGACCTCGTACAGTGGCCCGGCGCGCGCGCGCGTCACAAATATTGCACATATCCAAGAGGCGGTCGGCGAGGGACCGGCGGCACCGCGACTCCGCGGCAGGGACACCGCTGCACCCTCTCCGGACACATGTCCGTCCGACGACGACGGCCGGAGAGAGGGCCAGCGACGTCCGCGCTCGACACGAACGGAGGAGGCAGCGCGCCGAGCGGCCGCCCCCGCACACAGACACGGAGATAAACAATTCAAAAAGCGTCCTTTCGATGAAGCTGGCTCGACTTCACCCACGCGCTGGCTGGATACAAAACTAGCCCGGCTCTGGTCACGGCGCTCCCGTCAGGCAGAGCGGGGCGGGGAGAGGTGTCTGAACGGACCGACCGATTGAAACCGGACCTGCCCCGGCAGACCGGCCGTCGGCTCAGCCACTTGACCGAATGAGGCTTCACTCGAGTCGGCCCCGGGCGCCGGCTGTCGAGCCGGCCGCCGCGGGCTGTCCGGCTCATCTCTGTGAGGTCAGAGGTCACAGTCCGTACCCCGATCAGAGGTCACCCGCCGCCCCCTCCGCGGCCCACCGGGAGGGCCATCCGCCGTCAGCCTACGAGTCGGGTCAGGAGTCCTTCTCTTTGCTCTTGAGGAGTAACCTGTGAAAGAGGAGACTGTGGTCAGATGTGCGACAAGGTATCGAGACACAAAAGCGAGACAGGGCTGAAAAGGACCGGAAAGTCAACCACAACAACTTTCAAGAGCTGGTTATGAGAAACCTTGTGAGTTGGGACTCTTGAAATGCATTAGACGCGATAGCGCTGGTGGTATATGAGGGACATAAATTATTCCGAGACGGAATTAAGGATGCTAATTTCATACTTGCATGCTGAAAAGATTCATACACACGACATAACATCCCAAAATAAAGTCAACCACAGGCTGGTAGGATAAAATCATGCTTTACGCTTTACGTATTTGCAGTCGCTCCCTGTTTTCGCAGCTCTGCCGGCTCTCAATAACACACCACATCGTGGCAACTCGGCTCTCCGCCGAAATCTAATCAGATCTCATTAACGATACACGAGCTCGGTTCAATGAAGCGTTCTGAGCCGCCGTCTCTAATAACTCGCGGTCCGGCGGGCCGCGCCGAGCGCCGTCACCCCAACACAATATCGCTCGGCAGATTAGCAATTTGCTGGTGCGAGCGACACATCCCGTCGTGTGCCTTCGCTCGGCGCTTCGCTGTCCCTCACCGCCGACGCGGTATTCTGTCGCTACCAACGTCACCTCATCCCCGGCGCGACCCCTCCCCTCCACCACACTGCCTCTGCTACCACCGCTCTGCCATCGCCTCGCCGACTCCACCGCTCTCTCCTCGCTACCACTGTCTCCGTCAAACTCAGGATTGTCATTGCCCCACCGCTCGACCGCCGTCGATGTGCCCCGCTGTCCACTGTTTACCCGGCCGGCCATTGCGGGGTGCATGCCGCCAGTGTTCGGTCGGATACCGAGCGACCCATTACAATGCCTCTGGCCGCAGTCCAGCGCGAGCTTGGCAGCGGGCGACACTGTCACGGGACGCTACCGGAGCAGCCGCGCCGGCCTTGATCGCCGGCCTTGATCGGTCCTCTCGGCTCGGCTCGGCGAGTGCAGAGATGGACTGTGCGCAGGACGCCCCAGGGAGGCAGGGGAGGTCGGACTGTCCCGTGGGACCCCCCCCCCCCCCCCACACACACTCCCCGATAGTCTGTCGTCAGGATCGATCGGCCACTAACGAACAGACCACCGACGATCGGCCGGCGACGTGCTGAAGAATTGCTGTCGCATGACTGATCGATATGGCATAGCGCTCCGAGTCAGCGTATTCCGGCGGCGACGGCAAACTAACGACGGTATTGTATGCGAGCTCACGGTAATACCGTATCATCCCTGGTTTTATGGTTGATATAATCGCAAATGAATAAAGTAACCCCAATGAAATAGCTCGAGTGCAATTAGCAATTACAATCGCCTGTAACGGTCGATCGCCGAAACAGCTGCAGGAATGCAGGTTGTCTGCGCTCCAGACAACACAGTAAATAATCAAACTGCTGCCCAGAGGATTAATGGTGGCGACCAGCATCGCGCTGAGCCCGGCTAGGTGAGCGTCACAGCACGCTCAAACGGCGTCCGACAGACGACCCATTCATCACAGGCAGTATCAGAGCGCCACGACCGCCGCAGCTGCGTCACATCCGCCTCCGTGCGCCACAAATGCCGCCGCCACGCCGCGCCGCTGAGTTCGGCAGGGCCGCACCCATTCCCAGCCATATTTCTACCACCGGCCGCGACGTGAAGTTTGTTTTCGCTCACTTTCGGTCTGTAGTGGATTTATTTAAATTTATTCTCGGAGCTGCTTGTATGTAGTAGCTGTGAGGAACGAGGAGTGGCGAGAGCTTCGGAGACAGAGAAAAGAACAAACACGCGACGGGAGGACAATGTCCGTGGTCATGTCCTTGTCGCCAGATGAGAGAAATGATAAATAAAACTGGTTCACATCGGATCTACCAAGATAAAACACACCAAAAGTGGAAACGATACTCGATAGCCTTCAGTTTCAGCTATGAGGTGGATACCAGATACACATATGACACAAGATATGACCAAGAGGAATGTGAAATATGCCATCTAAGAAAAATAATTTCCCTCAGGGCATCGTTTTTTTTTTTAGGAAAGTATACAGCTGCTCACTTCTGGAGTATAAGCATGTCTTGGGTGTTTTTTTTTTTTTTGAACACATAGTGCTCACGTATAAGGTACCCGAGATGGATACCTCACCCGTACAACAAAGCTCCCCTTACGATCAGACTCGGGGTGGCTCTCACCTGAGGTACCCAGATTGGACGGGCTTATTTTCATTCAGCTCCCGCACGGCGTCCTCCAGGTCAAACCATTTCCGCCGCCGACCTGAGGGAGGGAGATACTAACATCAGTCACCGGTATGATAGAACACCGAGCAGGACAGCCGATCAAGACAGCGAGGTGTGTCGGACATGCAATGGAGATAAGCCATAGCGATATCGACATGGAATCAAATCACATCAATATCGACAAGCCATCAGGCCAGACTCAGATACACAACATATACCGACAACACCGGGCCAATGCGTTACTCTCACGGCGCCCCAGAAAAACATCCGACCACGCCACGGTGGTAAACACAAAGCATCACCTCTGCCGCTGCCTACAACACCGAACCACGACGCACATCGTATGTGGACAGAACCGACAGCCAAAACAGCCTAACCAAAATAGCCCTCACCAAACACATAACATCGCCAGGCGCACAGCTGCTGCGGTAGCGAGAAACTAATTAAATTAATTATTCTAACTTAAATTAGCAACTAAAACTGGCATCGCCGGCACGCAACATAGCGACCTAGTCGAACGAACGCAATAAACTTCTCAGCACGAATCCGACACACTTCGAAGTCAAAGTGCACACGGTTGCCAGAAAAAGGCGTTGGTTTCGTCATCTTGAGGTTTGTGCCGAGACATGTACACCGTCCAATGTCCTCGGTTGGAGCTGTCCTCGGAATGCATCACGTTCACGAAATGCCAGAGCATAAGTCACCGACATACCAGACATTCCTTCTGAAAATACAACTGAGTAACGAACAGTGATGGCAATAGTGCAACTAACCGTGCAAGTCAAATGTCTGAATAGAATGGTCGACGAAAATGAAGAGTGCACTTGCAAGGCTTCGCAGTCCACATTAAAATGATAAAAACACACGTTTATATCAAGATAAACGAGACAAATAGCGATACCCATGACCCTCTCTGGCATACCATCATCTTACGACACTCAAAACGTTCCCGTTAAAGCCGGCGCAGTCATTGGAGTGACACGACACAGCGCTGAACATATCTCCAGCTTGTGGCCAGCCGCTGCCTAGTGTCTACATTATAGTAGAGATGCAAACACGAACAAGTTAGAATATGCAGTAGGAGTAGGCGCTTGGACTAGTCAGAGAGAAAACGTAGCAGCACTGCGAATGTATTGCAATCATCGCATAGAGCCTTGCAGCTTATTCCAATGTGATCAATACACTGATCGCCAATAAAGATTGAGGATAATGATAATTGTTGGGCCTTGGGGTCATAGAGAGGCGTATATCGAAGATCATCGATAAAATTGACGCCCTTGCTGCTATTCTATCAAACTGAGCTCTGGCGTATGCCGAAAGCACTGTCGAGGCCGGACCCAGGCCGGGGTGTCGGTTGCCATCACCAATTCGACATTCCGTGCATAGCTGAACACGGTGCAGCGGCGGCGTCGGATCACTCGTCTGTCGCGTGATATAGACGCGGTTCATACGGTCGGGCCCGAAGGACAAACTGGACACGTTGGACACGTTGGACACGGTGGACACGTTGGACACGGTGGACACGTTGGACACGTTGGACACGGTGGACACGTTGGACCGACACGGCGGCAGTCGAGCGGGGAGACCGTAAAGCAGGCTATATCAGGGCAGTACTACCGTGAAGAGTATGTATGGGATGTATGAGACGAGAGCTGAGTACTAAGAATGCAAGCCGTAAAGTACGAGTGAGGATCACGGAGAATAGAGGACAGTATGACAGATTACGGAGCAAGGGCTCAGGTGCTCGGGTAGAGAAGGGTGAGCGGGTAGAGCGATCAAAGATCCTGGCCGCGGTGGAAGAGCCCTGTGGGAGGCTTTGAGCACGGGAGCGTGGCAAGTAAAGCCGCTCGAGAAAAAGGATACAAACACGGGATAGGCGGAGCCCCAGGAGAGAGAGGTTTACAGTGTGTCGGCGGAAGAAGAGTGTTGGAGTACACTGCCGGAAGCAGTCGCAGTTCCGCACCGTAGTGCGCCCTGGGGACTGTAGCGTGCCCCGGACGAAGGCAGAGTACCAAATCACCCCGGTCGGAGACAGAGTGCCGGAGGAGCGAGACAGAGCGCCGGGGGAGCTCGGGCCGGCGGCGGCTGTCGGTGGTGACGGCTCGGCCCGCCCGCCGGCCGCCCAAACAGCCCCGTCCTCCGCCCCTCTGCCCGGAGGGTGACTCAGCACACACCCCTCTCCCCGCGGCGGAGCTCACATGACCCGTCCGTCCCCCCCCCCCCCGCCCGGGGCAGCGGAGCCAACGCCTCGCACGCGCGCTGATGTCACCTCGCTCTGGTGCCGATGCGCTTGGATTTCGCTGTCCGTCCAGCCGACGCCGGCCCCTCCAGCCTTCACTGCCGTCTCCGACCCCACCGTCATCATAACTCGGACCGAACCTCCCAACGAACAACCCAGTCCCCATCCCGCTCCAGACGGATTCCCTCGCCCGAGCCGAGCCTGCCCCTGACCGCTGCCCCTGACCAGTGTTCAGTGGCCAGGTCAGCTTCAGTCAATGACCGCCATCAATTGGCTGCAGTCGTGTTCTAGCAGACAAAGGGTTGCGGGACGACTATGCCATCCAGAAAAACTTATTCGTTACACTATAGTAAAAAAGTGGCATGTGACTAGATGCATTATTTTCTTTAATGCGGTCGGAGATCACCGCACTGGCTTCAGAATCATTTTGAACACACACAAAATGATTGCGTTTAGCCATAGGCGCGGGAGCCGGGGGGGCAGTGGGGGCAGCTTGCCCCCCCAACTCTGGGGCCGTGGGGGCGGTGCCCCCTCAGCTTTGAGACGGAATACCACACTTTTTTTTGCAAATGTTTTCTTTTTTGTTGAAAAAGCCGAGGGATGAAAAACAAGTGGCCTAAAACCGGTGAGAAAACTAGATTTGGGGGTACCCTAGGTTTAGGGTTTCGGAGTCGTGGTAGCACTGTTCCGACTCCGACTCCGACTCCGACTCCGGACTCCTGACCGACTCCGACTCCGACTCCGACTCCGACTCCGACTCCGGGTCTGATACGAATGGCAATGGCGGCCGCCAAAATTTTGCGTGATATGACGCCACGTGCTAGGTCTACGTGCACGGGGAGAACGCTCATACTCTCCGGTTTCCTTCATGCAGTCACTATTTCTCCCACGTGGACGCAGCTGAATCCAAAAGAGGTCAGCGGTCAGCGTGGAAACCCGCCGAGAAGCGCGAGAGGCGGCCGTATCACGAACACGAGCATCGCCATCATGTCGGTCATTCCTATGTGTTGATACTTTTCGGAGCATAAACGAAGAAAATAAAAATACAGTTGTCATTTAGTCTTTGACTCGTCAAATACTTCAGATAGTGGAAGTTATAACAGGCATGCAAAATACTTGGCTACTAAATTATGATATAACTTGAAACTTGTAAGATCCAATGTTTGTCATTTAGAACAAAAACAAGATGAGTGCAACTTTTATCGCCGGAAGCGAATTCTACCGCGGGCAACTGGTAAAAAAAAAACAACTGAAAAGTGATATCAGAGATTCTAGTTATTTTCCGGAGTCGGAGTCGAGGCAGCTTGACCGACTCCGACCCCGACTCCGACTCCTGGCTGCTTGCCACGACTCCGGGCGACTCCGACTCCGACTCCGACTCCGACTCCGAAACCCTGCCGGGCTAGGTTGATCTCTATTATGGTGTGCCCCCCCAGTCGGAAAGTAGTTCCCGCGCCCCTGCGTTTAGCCCATCTCCGCCCCCTAACATCCTCACTGGGGCCGCCACTGCACAAATGTTCCGCGGTCATAAAAATGTCGGCTGTCACGCCGGCTGCCACGGGGCCGCCGTGACCGAGCTGCCCCCGGCCATTTGCAGCGTGGGCCGCGCCGTTTTGACAGATGAAACTGCCCGCTTTGATGTTTGTTGTATGTTGTGCCGCCGCCGGCAGATTGTGTAACGGGTAGGCGGGGTGATGGTTATAGTCTGACCGGAGGTTTCTGAGCCTGGCTTTCCAATGGGAGGTTGACATTTAACCAACTGGGACGGTAGAGTGGATTGCTCGGCGGAGACATTCTTCCTGTTCAGTAGTCTGACCGTGAACCGTCCAGCAGTCTCGCTCCGAACCGGCCAGCCAACTGCTGACTGGAGTACAGTGTTCACCAGCGGCTGACCGTGCTCTGCCACTGACGTGCTAACTCGAGAGCCGTGTCAGTGGACAGGAATTCGCCGAAAAGATAACAATCGGACCCGTTGGCGGGGCGGGCCAGTGACCCCCTACGGTCGCATAGACAGACAGAGACAGCGGGAGACAGCTCTGCCTGGTCCCGACACGTCAGTAGCGGCACAGAAACGCGTGTCGCTGGGCGGCGGTGCCCTTGACGAGCGCACGTGCGGCTCAGATACGGGCGGAGACACAGACGGGAATGGGATCAGTCTGCAGACGGTAACACCCCCTGGGCGGCGCGGGAGGCTGCAGTCGACCGAACGAGATTACTGACCGACCACTGAAGCGCACGTGACGGGCCAGGCCGACAAGGGTTGGCACGCGAGAAAGTCGGCCGAGTGACGAACGCGATCACATTGATGGCACACGCAAAGGCGGCTGCGTTCGTGAGACGAGTCAGCGCAGTCAGACATATCAGTAACCACGTCAGTTCGTGTGACGTCAGAGGCAGCGGCGTCCGACAGAAGTACAGAGTTCAAGGTCAACGGGAACCAATGGATAACGGGAAACCAATGACGGAGGGATTAAGCAGCATAGGGACAATATTAATTAACAAATAGCTGACTGGTATGAAGCGTGTGTTGATTTGGCTAATGCATGCCAGGCGATCACCGGCCCTTTATGGAAACATGGACTGACTGAATCGGTCTGGAAATCAGCCAAGGCGCCGACTGCTGCTCCTGCATGCCCGCTAATGCACCAAAAATCACCAACCTCCATAACCTCCACTGGTTGCCAGCAAACGCAAACGGGCACCATCAATCTACCACTCAAATCAATCAGCCGTCAGTCAACTGACCAGTCATTAAACACCCGGCGAGATCGCCTTGGAGACATCCCCTGGTCACATCCACCAGCCAGATACCACAACATCCACGCAAGGCGAGTCTCGACCAGCTCGACAAGACGCAGACAGCTGGCGAGCGGTGACCACGCCGGGCCCAGCCGCCTTGGAACGCGGAGCCGAATCGATTGCCGAGACTGGCGCCGGCTTCGAGGCGGAACTGACGGCCGAACGTAGCCGGCCGTCGGCGAAAAGTGGGCGAGAACGAGGCGGGAACACGCGGAACGGAAAACGATGCGCAGCTGCCAAGTTGTAGCTGTCAGGTATGTAATTTCGCTAGTTGGGTGTTGTCTACTGTGTGACTGTCATATTATGAACGAAGCATACAGTATGCCTGTCAGATCTGTATGCAGTATGGTGTTCAGGTTGTAGCCTGCGAAGCCGTCCTGACGTGAGCGACGCATTGCTGCTACATCTGTAAGTGTGCGATGCGTGGCTTTCAGGCCCGATTTTAGCTATGCAGCTGTAAAAGAAACAAACAAATTAAATAGACAGCTGTAGAAGCCAACCGCAGAGCTGCCATTCCGGACTGATGGGCTGGCTGTCCGGAGACTGACGGACTGGCTGGCTGTCAAGACTGGTGGACTGTGATTCCGGACTGGTGGAGTGACTGTTCGGACTGGCGGGCAGACTGTCAGGACTGATGAACTGATGAACTATCTGCCAATCCCAACTTCACCCTAGTAGACTGGTTATCCGGACTGGCGGACTGGCTATCCGCAATAGTAGACTGACGGGGTGGCCGCCAGACCGTGCGGTAAACTGGAAGACTCGCCACCCGGACTGACTGTTAGTCCTTACTTCGAACCCGGCAGCTGCGGGCCGGTTGACAGACATCGGACAGATCGGAGGGCGGCTCGACCGACCGGCCCGGGGCGCGGTGCGGCGCTGGCAGGCCGGCCGATGTTCTATATACCCTGGGCCGGCCGGCTGCAGTCGGAGTCGCCCCGCCGGGCTGGCAGCGCCGGCCGTCACCCGATCCGGGCTCACGCCGCTCAGCGGGCCCACTTCTCGTCAGAGGGAGGGACTGAGGACGTCCCACCGGGCGCCTGACACGCCTTCGGGCCGAGGAGGCGCGGAGACTAGACCGGCGGAAATGGGGCTGGCTCGAAGACGAGACTCCTGGCTCGGATACGGCGCTCACAGCTCGAATTCGGGGCGCAGGAAGACTGAGCGGAAAGCTCGGAGAAGGAGAGCGGAGCCTCAGAGATGAGGCCATCTCGAAGTCAGGGTTGGCTGATCCGACACAGCTCACCCGCTGATGTATGCTCTGGTCGGCGGACGGCCGAGCTCCAAAATCCGCCGCATGATGCATCAAGAAGCCGCTCATTTGGCCCAAGGACGGCCACGAATAGACCCCGATCAGTCGGACCAGGCGGGAGCGACGAAAGGAGAAACAAATCACCGTTCGGCTTCCACCTGATCAGCCAACATCACCATCCGCATTCGTCTCACATCAGCGGACACGTCAGAAATCACAGGGCGACAACGGCCTGACAGCGAACGCTCCCTAACTCAGCCCAACTGGCATTCCTTTATCTAGCAGCTTTCAGCCGGCCGAGGGCCGCGGATGGCACACAACTCAGCGGCGACTGTCACCGGGCCCGGGGACAGGGCGGTGGGCGGGGGGCGTTATACAGGGGGCGGTTTAGGGCCTATCGCCACACGCCACGCTGCGGGGGCACGGCTGAACCGGACGGTAGCCGGTAGTGACAGCGAACAGCGAGCATAACGGGCGGCCACTGTATACGACATCGAAGGCACCATAGGGCAGGCAAGTTAAATCACACTGTGCCCTGATGGAGAGGCAGGCAGCCTCGCATCATTTTCACTAGAAGTGACTTATGAAAAGAAATGAGAAAGTAACACATGACAACTATAAAACAAAGCACAGGGCATAATTATCGACTTCTCAGTCACAAATGAAAGTGACACTTTACTAACACCTGACCATTAGTGACAAAACTTCGTTGGTCCACTTACACTAACTGCGACAGTCGTCTGACATTTAACGAGACCATTAGCCATTCCTTAGGGTCGTCCAATAAATTAACGATCATACCATACACATAAGACACATACTACTTTGCAGAGCATATTTCGGATTCTTCCGCGAAGTGTTTTATCTAAACTAAACACTGAAAGGGTCATTTGGGACTGTTGAGCGTTACATTTTCGCTCATTTAACACGCAAACATCTTTCTGGTATGTTAAGAACCTTGATGTGATTCATAAACGTTGTAACATAAGGGGATAGGGGCAGCGACAGCCCAAATGTATGGACATTTAGATCTGCGTTTCCTTCTCAGCTCTGTCGCGTTAAAGCCAGTTAATGCCATCGTCGACAGTTGTGAGTGACAGACGACGCAAAATGTCGCCAGGCTATTCCAGAGAAAATACCGGCTTTCATGCTAATTTACAGCGGGACGTAAGCTTCACCGGCAAATGTCAACACTGGGAAACACGCACGCAACCGGAAAGCAGGAGGTCATGATGAGATGGCATAAGTCATAAACAAGTGACTCATTATCGAGTGATGGGTGTGAGCGCATTTCGTAATAAAAGTGTTTCAAACATTTTAAAGCGGCAGCTATGTGAGGTGACTGACAATGGTCGCAGGTGTTCCAAAAAAAATGAGCAGCAAACGTCAAAACGGATCGAACCAGGCTCTTAGTGCGGTGGTAGAGAGTAGAGACCCCCCTTCCCCCACCCCCCCACACACACAAACACACGCGTAGCTACCGTATCGGACCCATTTGAGCACTCAGACAGAATCAATTCCACCCATCTGATCATCTGACCCACGCCGGTGTCCTTACCGATATTGACCGAATCCTCCCACTCGGGTAGCTCGGCAGTGACCAGCAGAATGTAGACGGCAGTGCGGTGTTTCCTCTCGGTATTCTGCTGAGCAAAGTACGGGGAAACGTCAACACTACTGTAACACACACGCGGTTACAGTGTCTGACACACAGGGCTCACAGGCGGCGGTAGACAGAGCGCAGAGAGCATGTGGACAGCTCGTGTCACTGGCGGTTATAAGAGACCGGTGAGCCGGTGCGGTTGACAACAACTGGCAGCATCAGACAAACATATATGGGCACTGGGCAGTGGGCAGCATAGGCCGTAGGCCGACAACATCAGAACATGCACATAAGGACGGCATAAGTAATGTTCCACACATCATGCTAAGGAAAAGTAATGCAGCACAATATCATGCTGAGGAATAATGTTACATTGATTATGCCGCAGCTCTAGTCATAAAAACACACATGATATCGAACACGTGCCAGCGCTGACCTATAACCTCCAAGCCGGCGCAAGCACCATGACACACAACTGCCTCCAGTGCACTCCAAAGCAGCCCACACACCCATTCAAACCTGCGCCGTATATTTAGCCCGCCTGTTATCGCTGGTGCGCACCATTGAGCGGTTTGGCAGCACTGGCCGGGCCCGGCCAGCAGCCCGTCGGCCTGAACATGACGACAAACATGTCGTCTGTGTGTACGTAACCGCTCTGGCGGGCCGGGGTCGGCAGTTCCTGCTCCGACTCAGGCCTCGGGGCAGGTACCCGGCGGGGAGGGGATGAGGGGGGATTGAAGGTGTCGTCAACAAATAACGGTCCGTTGGCACTCAGCCAGACGGGGCGGCTAGAGGGGTACGCAGGGGCACGCGAGGGGTCCGTGGCGGGCCGTGCACCGTATGACGTCATTGGTGACAGGGGCGGCGCCGGCGCAGAGAGCGGGGGGAGGGGGGGGGGGGCGGGTGGCTTCCTTCAGCCACAGGAACCCTGTTGCAGAGACATGGATTCCCAGTCGTCTGAGTACCACAGTCCGGCTAGTCCGGCGGCTCTCGGTCCCGCTCAGCCGAGACAGGCTGACCTTTGCAGTCGAAATGGGGCCGGTGACTGGGGTGCCGTTACCGACTCCACTGGCACGTCTGGACGCCAATGGTACCCCGGACTGAACTTCTCAACATGATTTCCGTCTAGACGAGCCCATTCGCCCGCCGCTCAGGGACACGAATTCCCAAAAACTCCTCGCCGGCGCCTCCGTTTACACCATGAGCTTCGTGCTATTCAAACCGGGCGCTTATCTAACGTTTTGCATGAGGAAACGGCACTCAAATCGTAACCGCTGACACAACGTACGCCGGTTATGCAAATCGATGGCACTAAAAACGAGATGTATGAAAGTGGGTGCGGCGCTACATGGACGTTGTTCCCCCGACGTTCAACCGACGAGACTGTATTCACCGAACAAGTGAGACGCAATTGACGCTTATGTTCTCATTTAATACTGATCCTCACATTACATTGTGGATGATTATGCTAGGCTTGTCAGCTATGCAAAGCTGCAGTCACTTAGTGACTAAAACCAGTCCGCATGCGATGTGAACTTTGGATAAATATGGGCCAAATAAGTCCCGGTACGTTGTGTCCGTACCCACTGCCACGTGTATATAAACATATCGTCGGTGTCTGTAGTCAAAAAGGGCACCCGGAAAATAGTTGCATGCATCATGTGAACAATCATGATTGCTGTAAGCAAATACTCATGGCTGCAAGTGGCTGCGTCCGAGTGGACCACTATAAAGTCCTAAAGCATAGTCTCGCTATCGAACAATGGTGTCCTAGTGGGACTTTAACCGAGACTTATCGAAGCAGAGTTTGCTTTGATCATGCGCACAACTCGTGTGCGCATGATCACCCACACCCACACAATTTGTGTGGTTTTACAAACCAATCAGCTCCGTCTAATATTCCAGTCCCTATCCAACAAACAAGCAGGCCTCTAATCATTATTTCAACGGAAGCGCCTCCCAGACTTGCCACTCGCCATCCTAGTACAGTCTCTCCTTTGGAGCGAGGTCAATTTCCCGGGCACGAAGCCATCGACCGCTTGTGCGGCGCCACACGGGTATGGTCAATTGGGGTCGGATGCCGACGACGGGCCGGCACACCGACAACACTCATTAGTGTCTGGGCGGGCGGGGCGGCGGGCGGGGATGCAGTTAATGCACCGGGACAGGAGTCCGTTTGATGGCCTATACGATTTGGGCCTCCAAACCTGGTTTCTGTGATTGGAAAGCATCAGGAATATTTTTGGCATGGCCGCATGGTCCACGATTTCCTGACTCAAGGCACAAAGCTGGCATATTCTATCTTTCTTTTTTTTTTACTAAATAAGGCTTGTAGCGTCAACTTTAGCATTGATGCATAAGCGAATTACAAAGTGCAACGGTTAACTAAACGACCGTTGGGTATCTGAGTCGTGATAAAGATCAGACGTTAAAAATGGGTCCATTGTGCATTGTTTTATCTTTTCGCCCATTCAGTCTCGCCATAGACGGTATCAGTCACGGGTACGGCTACACAGATTCGCTTAGCTGTATCTCGCTCAGCCGATTGGTTCGATTACTTGCTCATCATTTACCGGACAAATCTGGATCGCTGAGCCCGACAGCTGATTAGACTGATCGACGTGAAGTGGAACACACCCGTCTTTAGAGTGGCTCTTGAATACCGAAATAACGATACCAATCTTTCGAAAGGCGCTTAAATCTGAAACGAGGACCAGCTACTACAAGCAAGCACAACAACGCATAAAAACGCCTAGATCCCGCAACAAAACCAGCTCCGTTAACACCCGATCAAAAGCCAGCCAAGCAATCAGCTCGAAGCAGCAAACTCAATCCAACTATGCATTCAGTGCCCACCTCAAGCACGATGCACGAGCACGCTATTCAAACGCACTACTAAGCAATATACCACCGCACCTCACCAAGCCGCTCCTTCGCCAAAAGCTCCCGGCAGAGAGGTAGAAACGTTGAGGTACTCACGCTCACCTCGAAGACCCCGAGGCACCTGCCTAGGTGTCCCTCGACGCCGGCCTCCTCACGGACCTCACGCAGCGCCGCCAGGTGCGCCTGCTCGTTGGGCTCGATCCCGCCACCGGGAACTACCCACTTGTCCGGCTCCTTGGAGGAGGAGACCAGCAGGACCTGTGGCAGGGGGAGATATCAGGGCTGGGGTCAGGCCTGGTGGGGTGTGCGAGGGTTGGAGGAGGGTAAGGAGGTCATCAGAGCCTGTGGTTAGGAGAGATATCACGGCTGGGATCAGGTCTTAGGAATGTGTGATATCAAGTGAGAGAAAAGAGGAGATGTTAGCAGAGTCCATGGTAGGGGAAATTCCACGACCATGGTCAGGTCTAAGGAGGTGTTTCATGGCTTGGTAGGGAAGAGGAGGGAGTTGACAGGACTAGCAAAATTTGCAGCAGGGAATGCAGCATCAGAATACAACTGTCAGAATGGTAAGTGGAAATGTCAGAATTGACTGCTAGATGAGGGTTTGATCAGAGACCAGTGTCGCTGAGGCAGGGACTAGGGAGCAGGGTTACGTTTGGATTATGAGACAGAACGATGTGTTGGGTAGAGAGCAATAAGCAATCCTGTCACAGCAGCACCTGTGACAGGATAGAAGCACTTTCAGTGGAGAGTGGAGGGTGGAGGACTGGGTAAGACGCTCATGAGACCAGCAGCACATACAGGGAGCAGTGGGGTCAGCTGGGGTGAGGAGACAAATGCTGACAGCTGGGGGGAGGGTGCAGGGCTGAGGCTTCCTGTCCACTGAACTACCACCAGCACCTCACAGGGATGAGGGAATGAAAGGCCTGGTGGTAGGTACAAGGCTGGAGCACCGAGGAGGGCCTGGTAAGAATAACTAAAATGCAGATTAATAATTATGCCACCATTCTGAACAAATGTTCAGAATTTCTGAGGGTATGATATGGGCTGAAAGCAAGAGGACCTATTGAAATTAGTTGAATGAAAATGAAAATGAAGTAAGTACTAAGTAGGTTAATAAAGCATTAAGTTCCAAGCTCAGTGAGCAAATTCTTCAAAAAATGATGCTAGTCTTTCACTTTTTAGCTTGAGAATTAAGTTATTGTTATCTTAGCTCCAAACACTCAAGTTGTAAATGTAAACTCACTCAGAGGTATATTGAATCTACTCACCTCCCTCTCCATCTCATCCTTGACGCAGACGCCAGCTGCACGAAGGCGATAGCCATCAGCATCATAGGTTCTTGTTGAATTAGGTTTGTCTTTCATGCTTAAGCAATCTTTACTTCTTGGTCCTTAAAGTGCACAGCTCTTGACCTTCAAGGCAACTTTGATTTTCCTTCCAATGTTGGAGTAAGTTTTGTCAAGCACTTTCAGACCATCTTGATTTAGCTAGACCTTCCTCACTCCAGAGCGTAATCAAATATGAATAGCTGCAGCCTCAGCAAAGCTTTGGCAGGAGGGGATAATAAATTTAAAACGTATTTTTTCAATTACGCCTATATCGGCATAACAGCGGCAAAACACCGCCTTCAACTTGCACTGGTAAATGTTAGGTGGAAATTGAGCCAAAGCAAGATATTTACACCTTGAAAACTCTTGAGAGAATTATTTTCTGATCAAACTAGAAAGCACACACAATTTGCACAAGCCTCTCGCATGAAACGCCAGATGTGGCCCCCTCAACCACCCACAAGACCTCGGAAATGACCCGCACCCCTCAGCGGAGCCTCCACGGGACACATTCGAGTTGCCTGACTCGCCGAAAGAGGGAGCTGCTGCTCCCTGTCGCTTCGCGTCCTGTGATTGGTCGACGTCGAGGTGAGGAAGGCGGGGCTTAGTGATCAGCTGATTTTTTACGGGGCTTATCGTCAATCAGCTGATTTTTCCCAAGGACGAATGCCTCGATTCACAAAAATAACATTGCATTGCAATCCGGCGTTAATCGAAGTTTTGGATTTTTTAAAGGATTTTTTTAATATAGGTGAAATATCACTTCAAACTACGTTTTCGTTCGCAGCTGTTTTGTGTGCGCATCGTCTTTGCGCATGGAACTATTGACGCCTGAGTTGTGTCGTCACTGTCACTGATCCACCTCCGCAGCCCACTGTAGTCTCACGGGGAAACTCGGGCTGTGTTGCTGGATTATATGATCGACTGTAAGTTAATTAAGACGTTTTCCTGGCATATAACCAAGAAAAATACATTTAAGGGCTTTCAAGTTTGAATCATATAGCTTCAGATATGGGAATAATGGAGGAAAACTAGACTTCCTTATCCTAGTGCGTTTGTTGTCAGATGTGAGAAAATTTATTTGCAGACCTTTTTACATATGCATTCATTGTTTTCTGTGCATTGTTGTATTTTTATTTTCTTTAAGTATTGGTCAGGCTGCGACCCATTGTTATGTAAGATTTGTTTGTTTTGTATTTGTCGTTGTCATGCGGACATCTGATTTTAATATTCAAGCAAATAATTTGTGTCACAACTTTTTTGTATTTGATAGTAGATTGTCTGTCAAATTGCATGTCATTTCATCTACACCATTTTTTGTAGCAGGTTCATGTTGAATAAAGTCGAACTGATCATTGTTTCCATTTCTATGATGCTTTGACTTAGGTAGGTACCTATATTCTCATTGTTCAAAAGTTACCTACCAGCAAATTGAAATGCCATTCACTTCAGAAGCATCACCTTCATCATGGCAGGTTGTAATTGCTGCATTTAAGGTGCTAACTGATAGGTCTTTTGTGCCTTTTTACCTACCTTGGATATTCTTTTCCAGACAGCATCCGATGTACCTGAGAAGGCATGGCGGAGGAACGGTCATCAGAGCCAGTCCATGTGAGATATTGGTTGTTTCTTTTTGTTGTTCTTCATGAGTGCATACTATCAGCACCAAGTGCTGCAGATGGGATGACTGATCTGCAGAACCTATTGCTTGCTTGAACTGGTGAATAGCACTTAGCCATTTTGACATGACCAACAGTTTTTTAAAGGGTTAAAATAAATTAACAGTAAGTTTATCTGTGATTATTATTTCACCTTTTCATCAACCTTACACTCACTAGTACCAGTGATGTGAATTTGTTAATCCATACTTATTGTGCTGTTGTCTATTATATTTGAGTTGATCATCAATAGTGAGCTGGAGATCTGACCTGTTTTGAAAAATAGTGACTGACCATAACACCATCTGTTGTTTCAGCTGGAGCCCTTCATTCACCAGGTGGGCGGGCACAGTCACATGTTCTCTCTTGACGAGATCACTGTGTGCAAGCCGCTCATCACCAGAGAACTCCACTTCTATGAGAGTATGCCTGACCAAATGAAACAATTTGCACCAGAGTACAAGGGGGTCATTGAGGTTAGTGATTATGGTAAAAAAGGGAAAAGAGGGGAAAAGTTGAGCATAAAGTACCATCTGTACCTACCTACTGTTCAGTATTCAGTGTTCATGTTTTGCAGCTGGGTATTATAACTCTCAGCCTGGTGCCATGAATAACTTTGTCTGGGTCCCACTGCCATTCTGTGAGAGGTTTTCCAAGGTTCCCCTCAAACTAATCCTCGACCCTGTTGCAGGTGAACTTTGTGGAAGATGCAGATGGCTATGTTACCCTCGTAGCTTACCCACCCAAAAGCTATGAACGCAAATTGTCCGTACAACGCAGCGAATCCAAATCGAAACGAAGGTAAGATTCCTGAGACGCTTGTCTCGTATCGAAAGTGCTCCTATTGCTTTACTTTTGTGTTGATATTTGCTTACTTCGTTTATGGTAGCGAATTTAGGGCGTCATCTTTTACTTGCCAGCGTGATGTGCGTAGTTTAGAATATTTTGCAACATGAGATGCTTTCTGAATGCACGGCATCGCTTTCTACGTTGCTGTTTGCTACCCCGATTCCCCGATTATCAAACGTTCAACAGTTGGTCGTTTTCGACGGAACAGCCGCACGGGCTGGCTTATGGTGCATATACAGATGTTTCTATTTAGCGTCTAGCCATAGAACAACTATCACGTTTTTTATTTTATGTTTCCGGAGTTCTGCCGCTCATCTAGAACGCATTTAGAGCGTCCTGGCGCGGAGACCGCTCCCAGTATCGCTCCGTGCGTCGTAGAAAACTGGTTTGTAGAATGTCCCGGCCATAGCTCGAGGGCCTCTCGTTTCCTGAGGAAAGTAGGTCAAAGACGACCGGTTCGGTACTCGACAAATGCCTCTCAAGTACTCTGGCCATGAATTTGCTGTTTGGATATGGCCGCCTACCGAGCGTAAGCTTTCGGTTTATCGATATCCGCTTTGCTTGCCAAGCTAGTAGCAGCTAGGAATAAACGGTATAATTTATAAACTTTTTTCCTTGTACTATTTTCATGATCCAGCGTAACTTTTCCTGATGTCTTTTACCTTTTTGTTTTTACCGTTTCAAATTTACCAGTTTCATAAATGTGTTATTACTGGTTGCTTATATTATACAATATAATTGCATGTCATGCATCGCAGCATGCTATGGTGTAATATGTTGCAGGCTTTTTTCGTAACCTAACCAGTACTTGAACTTGAACCTTGAATAAATTTGAACCATTACCAGTACGACATAACGTTGCTTCCTACAGAATTGTAAATCCGACCGCTGTGAACCATCTGATGTGTTCCGCCTCTCGTCCCTGATTCTCCTCGGATGAGCTGTGGGTCTCTTACATCTGACTTTCAGCACACTAGACTTTTCCACTCTTGTGCCCAGTGTCAGTCCCGGCAGTCGGGAATCGGGATCGGTGGCGTCTGCTATAACCCCAAATGAAGGACATGATGTTATTGTCTAACAATGTTCAGTTTGATTAGGCATTTGCATATCGTAGCCGTCATAACACGCTCTTTTATCCAGTAACTCGAGGCGGGCTCAGCACTCACCTCCTTTCTTTCGTCTGCTGGTTTGCACGTCACTGACACTGTTTTGATCCAGGCGGTATCGGTATCGGAGAAAGTTTTGTGAACTAACGTGACTGATCGATCTTTCCCGATGTGACATCCGCGCCGTCTTTTGACCAACTCGGTCTTAATCCAAACAGGCTAGATAAATATGTCCTGCCTTGATCCAGTGAGATCAATGCGCGTTGACGTGACCACGATGTATTGTGTCCCTGTATGTGACTGTGGCCTGACCTGTCTGTGACCGGGACCCGATCAGTATCGGACCGTGATATAGCTTTGGCGTGGCCTATCTACGCGCATGGCTTGACCTATCAGACCCTAGACTGACCTGCCTATACCCGACATCGATTATGTGTCCGTGACCTGGACCTGTGCTGTGGCCGTGCCTTCTCCATCTCTCGCCGTGACCTGACCTGCCTTGTACCGTACCTCCCCAGTCGTATCCGGATGCGTCCGTCGGGCAGTCTGGAGATCGAAGGTGAACAGAAACAGCCACAGGTGTTCGAGGAGGCCGAGCCGCGCGGTGACGAGGCCGCCGCCGGTCACGTGCCGCACAACCCGTGGCTGCTGCGCTGCGACCGGAACCAGCTCACCCAGCTGGCGGCGGGCGCGCTGGGCTCGGGCTCCAGTGGCGGTGGCAGCTCCAGCCACCGTGCAGCGCCACCACAGAGTGAGCAGAGCGGCGGAGGACGGGAGAGAGGGACGGGAGGGCAGGGCAGGGAGTGACCCCGCCGCAGTCAAACCGAGCCGCCGGCCACGGCGGAGCGGTCGGTGAATAAACCGATAAACACACTAAAGCGACTGACAGTCAATCTTAAAGGACTGGCTTCCCGATCTAAACTGTCCCGACGTGGCGCGTGCCCTCGGTTTGGCTGCGGCGGGCGGGCGGCGGGTGGGTCTCGGCTGACGCGGTGCCCCCCGCAGGGCTGGCTAAGGTGAGGTGAGGACAGGCGGACACACGCGAGGCGCACGCGCTCGACGCAGCCCAGTAGGGGGCTGGTGCAAGACGCCGGCGGGTGTCGCGGGCCGGCGCGACCATTGATGAAGGCAAGTCGTCTTGGCACAGAGTTCAGGGGTAAAGGGTTGGATAAGCTCAGGGGCGGCTGCGGGAGTGTTGATCGGTGTGAGACGACTATTGTGGGCTCGTATGGTTTCATTATTTCAATTTTGTTTTCCATTGTCAGCTCAGGGTAGATGATGACCTGTGTTTTATGATAGATCTCTTACGCTTTGTTCTCGTGTGCCGGTCGACACGCGGTGAATTGTGTTGACCCGCTCAGCCCCGTCCGGCACTGTCTCGGCCCCATAGAAACATGCCCCTAACCGCTCCGCCGTCGCCCCAGAGTACATCCTTCTGGAGAACTTGACGCACAAGTACCAGTACCCATGTGTACTGGACCTGAAGATGGGCACCCGGCAGTACGCCGACGACGACTCGGCCGCCAAGCAGCAGCGGAAGAAGGCCAAGGTGGCCACCACTACCTCTTCCACCCTCGGAGTCCGCATCAACGGCATGCAGGTGAGTTTCGAGTGGGAAGGGAGGAGACAGCGGGGAAAGGGCTGAGATTCTCTCGCTTTGAAATAAGTTGTCGAAACCGATGCCTTGATGGTTTTTATGCGTGGATGCGTAAGTTCCGTACTTTTGGAGTAGAACATGTCGCGAAAGAAGTCGACGTGTTACCAGTCAGTTTAGTATTCAGTAACCTATCAATTAAAACCGAAATAGATGTGATTTTGGTAATCCTGCTGGAATTTGTGTTAAATGAAGACAAGAACCGAGCAGTACTGCCATAGATCTTAGATGTTTGTGCTTCCAGACGTTGGCACTGTCCCTCTCTACCCCCTTCAGGTGTACCAGGTAAACCTTTCTCGCTTCATCTGCCGAAACAAATACTATGGCCGCAAGCTGACAGTGGACGGCTTCAAACAAGCACTGTGTCAGTTTATCCACAACGGCACCACGCTGCGCACGGACCTCCTCCCAGCCATGATCGCGCGCCTCTCGGAACTGCGGAGCGTGCTGCAGCGCCAGCACTCGTTCCGTTTCTTCACCTCCTCCCTGCTGGTCATCTATGACGGCCAGGAAGCGATGCACGACCAGCCGGAGCGATCCGCACGAGGAGACGTCGACGTGAGGATGATCGACTTCGCGCACGCGACGCACCAAAACTTTGACGACCCGGTGCAGCACAGTGGGCCC